AGAATAAACAGATGTCTTGGAGAGGGTGTAGCTGGAGTGCTCTTTGGAGGCAAGAATGATGAGGCTTCACCTCACATACTTAGGGCATATTGTTAGGAAGGGCTATTTGTTGGAAAGGGACATGATTCTGAAAAGGGTGAAGGAAGACCCTCAACTGGATGGATTGACACCGTGACTGCTGCAGTGGTCTCTTGTGTGTCAGGAAGAGTAAGGACAGCACAGAATAGAATACAGTTCAAGGGCACCTAACAACAACAAATGGAAATCATTAATGTTCTTCACAAAATACCTCTACTGTTTATAGAATATGTGAAAGGCTATTGTGAATTTCTGTCTTTCCCAATAAAGCAACTACAATGCAGTCCAGTACAAGTGCTTTCCTTTCAAATTTCTTTTTATTTTATTTTATTATTTTTGTGTGTGTGTGCCGTCAAATCAGATCTGACTAGTACAGGAGGAGATTGTCCCTCCTTACCCAGCAGAGCATCTGGTGGATCCGAACCGTTCGCCTCTGGGATTGTAGCTGCAGCTCCTTGCCATTAGGCCACCAGAGGTCCCCTTCAAATTTCTTTAAACTTAGGTTTTACATTAGAAGCTTAAATAAGAAGCAAGTATTGAAGAAGCTGCTTCCCTTCATCTGGAATTTGTAACATGAACAAAAGGATATAAGTACGCAAAATACCTTCAGCTAATATCTGAAAATGTGCATTTATGCAAAACCAAGAATTCATTCAATAAAAAAATAAAATTTAGTCATTGATTAATTACATTTCAAGTTTCACTCTGCTAAGAATCTCAGATAAAAATTGACTAGAAGAATATTGGAGACTGATTTTGCAAAAATTTGTAATTTGTCAGACTTTTTCTGCAGTGCTATCAGACACACTTCATAATACATAATACCATTAGTTAGATATAATTTTGATTTTTTTAATGTATATTTTAAAATATTAAATTTTGCCCCTAACATCTATTTTTAATTTTACTACAATAGAATCGTTTCTGATTCATGTTGGGGCAGAGTCTGATTTTAATTATAGAGAGAGATTTTATCTGAACAGCAAGTGGACATTAACCTTCACATCCTAAAATAAATGCCCTGGAAAACAATTCGATCAACTCACATTATCTTTACATCAATACAACAGTCAGAGGATGTTTAATGGTAGCAATCCAACAAAAGGCTAAAAAACTAATAAATATTTACGCTGGAGTCAGTGGCTAATTAGAAATCACACGGAGGATCAGATATCCAAATCTTCAAGTATACTGTTCACTTGCATCTCTAATCAGAATTATTTAAAAAAGAATATTTATTATAAAAATCAACTAGGAAAGCACATACACTTGTGGAGAAAAGTACCTCTTTTCTTCTTCATATTTTCTCCAACCTCCCCCTTTCCTTGCCTTCTTGCCTCCCTTCCTCCTTTCCTTCCCTTTTATCTTTTGACTTTTGGGTAAGCTTATGGCATTCTCCAATGGAACAATTAAATTAAATCAATGCCTCTATAGATTTTTAGACCTTAGGGTCTTTTTCAAACTGAAAATACTCTAATTCTTTTATTGAAAATGACCCCTCATATTTATCCCAACATTAAATAATGAGACTGTTAGTGTAGTCACATACTATCGAGCAGTTCGACTTATGGATGACCCAAAAGAGGGGTTTCCAGAGTGCATGAGCGGATTTTTGTTCATCCTTCTTCAAAAGAATGGGTGATGGATTTGAACTGCATGCCTTTTGTGTTAGCAATGCAACTACTTAACCTAGGCCACCAAATCTCCCTAAATCTTGAGACAATACCTATGAATATATACCTTAGTCATTGTCAAACATCTTGAGTGGATAAGTTGTTGGGATAGAAGGTTCAAGA